ACCTGTAAAGAATATTATTCGCTCATTTTCTTATCTACATTCACTATAAACAATTAAATTACTGATGAGTGGTGAAAGCGAACAGTTGACATCAATTCCCCATTAAATATTATTGTTTTTAAAGACAACACTAGACTTACAAATACTTACAATAGAATAACATAATACAAAATTAACGAATCATCTCACTCGACAGAATTATACGGCCATAGAGGTCATTCAATCGGCAATGGTCAGAGACAATATGTTCAGATGTCGGTTTGTGATTATCGATTAGCACACCAATTTACTTCCTACGTCTCGGTTTCGATTCCTAGCACGGTACAAACATTCATGAGTATGTTGAATTGTTAGAGGAATCAAACCGGTGACCATTGGAATAAAGTCCGTGTGCTAAACCGCTTGACTACTAAGGCCGTCAAAAGATGTAACGTCAGTGTATTTTAGAAAACTAATCATCATCATGATGCAAGTAATCATCTCTCACTAAACAATTACTTAAATGACAAACGTACATGGCAATAGTTGTTCATGCACGGGATTTTCATTTAATGTTAGACATAGACACCTATATAAGTGTTTAATGTAAATAAACTGGCTTTAAAAGAAGAAAGAAATTTAGTTGATCTTCATGCCAGTTCTTCACAATTGAATCTGTTTACTGAACTGGACGGTAATTAAAAGTATAAATTTGAAAAAACTTGACTTTCATAAACGGCTAAATTGTCTTACATGATTACATGATTTTTGATTAGATTTGAATTCATTATAGGTTGTTACTGATCTACCGGTAGTCTATTTTTAGCAGTGAATGATAACAGACGGAAATGATGAGATCAATTGCAAATATGAATTACCTTATATACGGCCAGTTTAATAGGCTTGTACGCGTATGGCATAGTTTATTTTTATAATATTACGTGAACAACGTCGCCGACAGTTGACCGTCAGCTGCAGTTTAGTTGATATACATACATATATACTAATATTACAAAGCTTAAGAGTTTGTTTATTTGTTCGGTTGTTTAATTGCGCTAATCTCAACTACTGGTTTAAAAGGAAAAATGTTTTAGTGTTGAATAGCATTTATCAAGGCTACGGGCTACTGTAAGCGTTTACCATCAGACGAGCTGTATGATTGTTTGCTACCATCAAAGTACAAAAAAGAAAGGTTATAGTCTATATAACACGACTAATAGGAACATTAGTGGAAATCTAGTCTACCACAATCACCTCCATGCTGGTCTAGAGGTTTAGCAAGCAGCATTACGTGACTGCGGGTTCCATTTCTCGAACAGTAACATTTGTTATTCATGAGTACAAACATTCACAACATATTTGTACAGGTCTGGGTGTTTTCTATATATATTATGTATTTACAAAAAATATATCTAAATATTTATACCAGTTGTCTAGTACCCATATCACAGGCTCTTCTTAGCTTGGGACACTAGATGGCGCTGTGTGAATAGTCCTGGGTTGTTATTATTTTTCTTCTCGGCTTTCACACCGGTACTATTGTTATGTACGGGCCTAAGCCAAGTACATAATAATGTTATTTTCAAACAGTCCTCCCACACGACTCCCTCAGCCGGCTGCTGGGAAGCAGCCGGCTTCCGGCCGGCCGGCAGGCCGGCCGGCAGGCTGGCCGGTAAACGAACGACGCTGGGGTGGCACACCCCAGCAGTACGCCCGGGCAAAGAGCTTATGCTCGAGGCCCGCACCCGGCGGTCCGTAAGGACAAGCGGACGACCTCGACTGACTGAATAATGTTATATTTTTACGTGAATATCGTACTATGAATATTCGCCTGATCTGTTTTATTATTACCTCACACAATCTGGAAAACTGGGTTTGTTAGTAATGTGGATTGATGATCTTATTGCTAGCAATGTACCATCATCAGGTTGCGCACGCGGTTCCCCCTGGAAACCATCGTGATAAATTCTTGGTGAATACGTCATGATGGGCTAACTGACCTGACCTCATGTTCATCTTCCTCATGAACATGAAGTCAGGTAAGTTATTCATCATCCTCCATCGGTGCCCCGCCAGCGTAAATCGGTAGCGCAGGCGGGTGCACCAAACAAATATCATCCATAAAAAAAATATGCGAATGACGAAGTAACCAGGTCCCATCTCGTCTGCAATGACAATGATACTTGATTAAATTCATCGACCTCTGAATACGGTCTAGATTGGTTTTAATTGGAAATTAGTAATGCAATTTAAAATGTTGAACATACAACAATATGATCGAATAAATGTGACTTCTTGAATATATAATCCATATTAATGTCTATAATGATAGTTGTATATATAAATGGTTGAGTGCAATGATGGCGGGCTCATCCGTCATACTCGTAAACGGATGCTGATTGTAGGGACTGATCTGTTTCGGTTACGATTAGATCAGTGATGATTAGACTATTTGCCTTTACAATAGCATATGCTGGTGGTCACGCTATTCTCCCAAATTTGAATTTAAAATCTGTATTGTTGTAAACATGTACATTTATTTGAAAAGAATACGAGCTAAGTTTCTTGTCAGTTCTTCGTATCTCGAAATCATTCTGAACTGACAGTAGATTTGACATATCATAATAGTCTGTAGTAAACCTAGATGAATAAAGTTATTTTGAATTTTTGTAACAATATAGTAAATATGAAAGCTACTACACATCGTGTGTGATTGTAGCCCACTCATGCATAAATGAATCGACTTTGGAAAGTTTATACTCAATCTTGAGGGTATAAGAACCGTCGCTCCTAAGAATTTCTTTCAATTCTTGTCCCTGACGGGTCTATGTAGCGAACTTTGAAAAAGGGGGAGCACAATAGATGTATGCAGGTTATACAGGTCCAAGCACCGGACAATGGCCCAAACCCCTCAATAAAAAAAATATATGGAAACGTACACACGTTTCCGAACACACGTTCTTGAAAATACACTATTTGTCTATTTCTTATCTTTTCAAGAGTGATATTATTTTTATTGACTTTTCACATAACGTTATATTTAAACACGAGACCGGACATAGCCTATTTTTTCTCAAAAACTATTTTTATATATAAAAGAAGAATGGATGGGCCATTCTTCTGTACATGCACCTCAAAATTGTACAGAATGGCTCAACCATTCTTCTGCACAAATTCTTATCTCTTTTATTTTTACTTACTCTTTTATATTTAAGCATCTTTAAGAAGGGGATAATTATTTATTCAACTTCTGTTTTTATTACAAACGAGACGCGTGATTTTGGTCAGTTTTTTAAGTTATTTACATTTGATTTTCACTAAAAATGATGAGCTTATAAAAATAAAGTCTGTATTTTTTTAATAAATTATAAATATATCACACAGTACAAATGATTACTGACCTCGCAGTAGCAAGGGCAACAGGACTTGCCTAATTAATAATGAAACTCAGAAATATATCTTTGTTTTAATTTACCATGTAGTACATACCTTTTTTATTATGTCCTTTACGTGTGAATTCACACAAAATAGGATTACAACGTCTGTTTTAATGTTAATGGTAATAAAAACCATTTTTATTGCAACATATTGCAGTTTTCCTTGAACTAAAGTCGTATAAATGTTTAATAAGATATAACTGACTGATGTTATGATCAGTCTGTTCACCGGCTTATGTTCTGACATTTAAACTACTACATATAATTACTAATATACTTAATTATAACATAGTTCTGTCAGATAAGTAACGTGAATGCTGCGGAACTGCCGTCAGCCGTTAATTAGTAGGTCCTCCTAATCCTAACAGCCTAATAATAAACCTAATAAGAAACGGTGAACAAGGTAGACATCAATGCAATAAATAAATACGATTGTTTATACCGTGAGAGGAATACATAAACCGTTAAATCATCGAGGGCGCTAAACCATAGGCACTGTTCTACTAACATAAAATTACTAAAAGCTTAGAAAGACATTATATATTACAATAGATACACTTAAAGAATCGATTAGAAAAATATCGAATACAGAAACTTTAAAATATTGACCAAATTCAGCATCACAACGTATATATTTAATTATATATGCTATTATGTATATACAATTAGAGGAACCGTAAATAAAAAAATATTAGCCGATTTCTTTACACTTCGCAAGTTTCACAATAATATTTCACGCAGCCCAGCATCCGATCTTGTGATGTGGGCGAGAGTCGGACGCCCGGCCGCTACCAACGCAAGCGCCATAGTTCTTATTTGTTTAACAATAAAACGTATATTTGGCCTCGTTTCAATATTTCATATTTGTAGAACCAAAACTGTATAAATAAATAAATAACCCTGAACAATTAACAAAGCGCCATCTAGTCCCACGGTAAGCAGAGTTTGTGTTATGGGTACTAGACGACTGATTGCTTTTTTTTATACCGCATAGGTGGCAAACAAGCATACGGCCCATCTGATGGTAAAAGGTTACCGTAGCCTATGGACGCCTGAAACACCAGGGGTGTCATGAGCGTTGCCGACCCTTAAGAAACCTTTATATACCCTTCTTGAAAAACCCCATGCTGTACTGCCTCGAGAAAACCTCGACAGGTAGTTCATTCCGCAATCTAACTGTACGCGGGAGGAAGCTCCTCTGAAACCTCACTGTCCGAGACCACTTAGGTTTCAGCGTGTGAGGATGAATTCCCGGTCGATGGCGAGCGGTGCGATGGTAAAAGGTAGCCGTAGGCATCATGTGTGATGTATTTACATCCGCGTGTCAATGTCAAGTTTGACACATTAATCTGTAATTGTCAGTTGTCAAAATAGAGTGATATTAGCATTATATAGAAATGAATAAGATGGCGTTTCTGCGAATGTCCTATTGTTGTGTTAAAACAGTAATCAATAAAAATCATTAAAAAGGCGTGTTATTTTTATTCAACGTGTAATCAGAAGGCCTGGTACACATTAAATGGCGACGAGGATCAAAAATATTTAAAGGAATTCGCATTTTAAATAAGATAAAAAGTAATCGGCATGGCGTCGAACATTTTATTCAAATCATTTCAAGAAGGAGATGATATTAACTGCTTCTTGGAAAGAATGGAGCAACACTTCACGGCAAACGACATTGACAAGGTAAAACAATTACCTACATTACTTATATCGTTACATCAAGATGTGTATAAAATTTTGAAAAGCATGGTGCATCCATCTTTGCCAAAGGAAAAAAGTTATAAAGAAATCGAGGAAGCGTTAAAGTTAAGATTCCAACCAAGAGTGTCACATTTTCGAAAAAGAATAAGATTCTACAGCTTACGGCAAGCGGAAGGAGAATCAGCATCAAAATGGTTTACAAGAGTAAAGGAAGCTGCAACGGAATGCAACTTTGAAAAGAATATTGAAGAAAATGTAAAGGATAAATTCGTTACGGGGCTGAGACCAGGACCCATACAAGACAGGTTATGTGAGGAGACAATAACAAGAAATATCAAGGAATTATTGGATATAGCCTTAAACAAAGAGTCAGCTTATCAAGAAAATAAGGAGTTGGTAATTGTTAATAAAATTTCTAGTAAATCCAATAAGAAACAAGATTGTTCACAGGTATATAATAAACAAAAGAGCGACAGGAAAGCTCAGGATATTTTAAAATGTATACATTGTGGAAAACCTAACCATTCATTTGCTAAATGTAAGTACAAAACCTATAAATGTAAAATTTGTAATAAAATTGGGCATCTAGCTATAGTATGTAAAAATAAGCCCACAAATAGTATAGACATTAGGGAAGAACAAGTAGATATGTTTATGATGGTACCAATAACAGATGTTAATCATATTTCTCCATTTATGGTAAAGTGTTATGTAAATTCAATCCCTTTAAACATGGAATTGGATACAGGTGCAGCCGTTTCCTGTATACCAAAAAGAATTTATAGTGAGAAATTTAGTAATGTTAAATTAGAAGGAACTCCATTAGTATTGAAAACTTATAGTGGTGAAATAGTAAAGCCTGTTGGTAAAATTTCAGTTGCATTGCAAGTCAATGAAAGAAAATGTAATTGTTCTTTGTTAGTGGTAGAAAATGGGTGTAGAAATCTTTTTGGTCGGGATTTAATGAATATATTAAACATAAATTTGAAAGAGTTAACAGATTTGAATTCAATAGATTCACTAAATTTAGAAAATATTTTGCAGGAATATTCAGATGTTTTTAAAAATGAGCTGGGTGTTATTAAAGGTGAAAAGATTCATTTAGAATTAAAAGAGAATACAGAACCTATTTTTATGAAGCCTAGACCCATTCCTTTTTCTTTTAAAGATAAAGTAGAGCATGAGTTAACAAAGTTAGAGAACGAAGGAGTTATTACCAAGGTGGATAATTCAGATTGGGGAACATCTTTAGTACCGGTTATTAAGGAGAATGGTCAATTAAGATTATGTGCTAATTATAAAGTGACTGTTAACAAATATTTAAAAGATGTAAATCACCCAATACCTAGAATTGAAGAAATATTTACAGCTCTGCAGGGAGGTCAGAATTATAGTAGATTAGATCTTCGAAATGCTTTTAATCATTTAATATTAGATGAAGCTACAGGAAAACTGTTAGCTTGGTCTACATCAAAAGGTATTTATAAATTAAATAGATTACCGTATGGTACTAAGCCAGCTAGTGCTATATTTCAATCAAAACTTGAGAAAATTTTGCTAGGAGCTAAAGGGGTAGTCAATTTTATTGATGATGTAGTGGTTACGGGTGTCAATGACCTTGAGCATCTTCAGAATTTAAGAGAGGTTTTAAAACGTTTTAAGGATGCAGGCATAAGACTTAACAAAAACAAATGTATATTTTTTCAAAAGGAGATAAGGTATTTAGGCCATATTATTTCAGGAGAAGGGTTAAAAAAAGATATTTCACATTTAGATAGTATAATTAAAGCACCCCCACCCCAAAATATTTCAGAAGTAAGATCTTGGATAGGCATGGTTAATTATTATGCTAAATTTATACCAATGTTATCTACAAAATTAAAACCTATTTATGAACTATTGCAAAAGAGTTCAACATTTAATTGGTCAAGAGAGTGCCAAGCAAGTTTTAAATTAATAAAAAAGGAGATCATTTCTGATAAAATATTAATTCATTATGATAGGAATAAGCCCTTAAGATTAGCATGTGACGCATCAAATAATGGTATAGGTGCTGTATTAAGTCACATTATGTCAGATGGTTCAGAGAGACCTATTACTTTTATATCTAGAGTGTATACAAAAGCAGAGAGAGGATACTCAATGATACATAAAGAAGCATTAGCTTTATATTGGGCAGTCAGTAAGTTGTATCAGTATTTGATAGGAACTAAGTTTGAGTTATTGTCAGACCATAAGCCTTTAAAAGCTTTATTTGGTGAGCACAAAAGTTTGCCACAAATGGCAGCAGGTAGATTACAAAGGTGGTCATTATTTTTGTCTGGGTTTGATTATACATTAAATCACATTAAAGGTACAGAAAATGTAAATGCAGACTGTATGTCTAGATTACCATTACCTGTCACAGATAACATGTATTATAAAGAATATGATTATATTAATTTTGTAGAAGATCAAAATGTAATTGATGTTAATAGAATAAGATCTGAAACGCGAAGGGATCCTATTCTTAGTTCGGTATTTAATATGATAAGATATGGTTTTTCAAATAATGTAAGTGATGTTTTCAAGCCATTTTTACAGAGGAAAGACGAGTTATATATTGAAAAAGGAGTAATCATGTGGGGTTATAGAGTTATAATTCCAAAAAAATTACAGAATTTGTTATTAAAAGAGTTACATTCGACACATGAAGGTATTGTAAGGATGAAATCTAATGCTAGGTCATATTTTTGGTGGCCAAAAGTGGACCAGATGATTGAAAGTTATGTAAAAAATTGTAACATATGTATGTCGATGCGTCCAGAACCACCAAAATCTAATATTATTTCATGGCCAAAAACAAATAGTCCATATGAGAGAGTACATGCAGACTTTTTAGGTCCATTTAAAGGTAGAAACATTTTACTAATTGTTGATACATATTCAAAGTGGCCAGAGGCATTTATTATGGAAAGTACTGATTCTAAATATACAATAGAAAAGTTTAGAGAATGTTTTGCACGGTACGGTTTACCAAAAATTTTAGTTACTGATAATGCAAGTGTATTTGTATCAAGAGATTTTTCTGAATTTTTATAGAACTAGACTAGATTTATTATCCATAAAGGAAGAAAAAGGAGAGAGGATTAAAAGAGGGAGTAGACAGGATACATTTAAGGAAGGAGATTGGGTATATTGTAGGGATTATAGAAACCCAAATAAAAAGGTTTTTGTAAAATGTATTATTGATGAGGTCTTGGGACAGAGAACTTATTTATGTAAAGTAGTAAATGAGAATTTAATATGGAAAAGACATTTAGATCAAATAATAAGCTCTCCATCCCAAACTAATCAAGATTTTAATCAAATAATAAACTCTCCATCCCAAACTAATCAGGATTTTAGTATTGAAAAAGTAAATTCAGAAGATATAACTTTGAAAGAAGTATGTTCTGAAGTTGTAGTTCCTAAGAGTATATTTGATGAAAACATTTGTAATAGAGATTGTAGTAATAATAATAATTTAAATAGATCTTTAGAAACTATTGTAACTTCTCAAGTAGGTGATTCTGAGGGAAATAATATTTGTAGCAATGTTTCAAAAGATGATAATTCTATAATAGGGTCTAATTGTAATTCTGAAATTATTGGTTTAAGGCGCTCACAAAGAGAAAGAAAACCTATTGTAAAACTCAATTTATAGGGGGAGTATTTGTGATGTATTTACATCCGCGTGTCAATGTCAAGTTTGACACATTAATCTGTAATTGTCAGTTGTCAAAATAGAGTGATATTAGCATTATATAGAAATGAATAAGATGGCGTTTCTGCGAATGTCCTATTGTTGTGTTAAAACAGTAATCAATAAAAATCATTAAAAAGGCGTGTTATTTTTATTCAACGTGTAATCAGAAGGCCTGGTACACATTAAATGGCGACGAGGATCAAAAATATTTAAAGGAATTCGCATTTTAAATAAGATAAAAAGTAATCGGCATGGCGTCGAACATTTTATTCAAATCATTTCAAGAAGGAGATGATATTAACTGCTTCTTGGAAAGAATGGAGCAACACTTCACGGCAAACGACATTGACAAGGTAAAACAATTACCTACATTACTTATATCGTTACATCAAGATGTGTATAAAATTTTGAAAAGCATGGTGCATCCATCTTTGCCAAAGGAAAAAAGTTATAAAGAAATCGAGGAAGCGTTAAAGTTAAGATTCCAACCAAGAGTGTCACATTTTCGAAAAAGAATAAGATTCTACAGCTTACGGCAAGCGGAAGGAGAATCAGCATCAAAATGGTTTACAAGAGTAAAGGAAGCTGCAACGGAATGCAACTTTGAAAAGAATATTGAAGAAAATGTAAAGGATAAATTCGTTACGGGGCTGAGACCAGGACCCATACAAGACAGGTTATGTGAGGAGACAATAACAAGAAATATCAAGGAATTATTGGATATAGCCTTAAACAAAGAGTCAGCTTATCAAGAAAATAAGGAGTTGGTAATTGTTAATAAAATTTCTAGTAAATCCAATAAGAAACAAGATTGTTCACAGGTATATAATAAACAAAAGAGCGACAGGAAAGCTCAGGATATTTTAAAATGTATACATTGTGGAAAACCTAACCATTCATTTGCTAAATGTAAGTACAAAACCTATAAATGTAAAATTTGTAATAAAATTGGGCATCTAGCTATAGTATGTAAAAATAAGCCCACAAATAGTATAGACATTAGGGAAGAACAAGTAGATATGTTTATGATGGTACCAATAACAGATGTTAATCATATTTCTCCATTTATGGTAAAGTGTTATGTAAATTCAATCCCTTTAAACATGGAATTGGATACAGGTGCAGCCGTTTCCTGTATAACAAAAAGAATTTATAGTGAGAAATTTAGTAATGTTAAATTAGAAGGAACTCCATTAGTATTGAAAACTTATAGTGGTGAAATAGTAAAGCCTGTTGGTAAAATTTCAGTTGCATTGCAAGTCAATGAAAGAAAATGTAATTGTTCTTTGTTAGTGGTAGAAAATGGGTGTAGAAATCTTTTTGGTCGGGATTTAATGAATATATTAAACATAAATTTGAAAGAGTTAACAGATTTGAATTCAATAGATTCACTAAATTTAGAAAATATTTTGCAGGAATATTCAGATGTTTTTAAAAATGAGCTGGGTGTTATTAAAGGTGAAAAGATTCATTTAGAATTAAAAGAGAATACAGAACCTATTTTTATGAAGCCTAGACCCATTCCTTTTTCTTTTAAAGATAAAGTAGAGCATGAGTTAACAAAGTTAGAGAACGAAGGAGTTATTACCAAGGTGGATAATTCAGATTGGGGAACATCTTTAGTACCGGTTATTAAGGAGAATGGTCAATTAAGATTATGTGCTAATTATAAAGTGACTGTTAACAAATATTTAAAAGATGTAAATCACCCAATACCTAGAATTGAAGAAATATTTACAGCTCTGCAGGGAGGTCAGAATTATAGTAGATTAGATCTTCGAAATGCTTTTAATCATTTAATATTAGATGAAGCTACAGGAAAACTGTTAGCTTGGTCTACATCAAAAGGTATTTATAAATTAAATAGATTACCGTATGGTACTAAGCCAGCTAGTGCTATATTTCAATCAAAACTTGAGAAAATTTTGCTAGGAGCTAAAGGGGTAGTCAATTTTATTGATGATGTAGTGGTTACGGGTGTCAATGACCTTGAGCATCTTCAGAATTTAAGAGAGGTTTTAAAACGTTTTAAGGATGCAGGCATAAGACTTAACAAAAACAAATGTATATTTTTTCAAAAGGAGATAAGGTATTTAGGCCATATTATTTCAGGAGAAGGGTTAAAAAAAGATATTTCACATTTAGATAGTATAATTAAAGCACCCCCACCCCAAAATATTTCAGAAGTAAGATCTTGGATAGGCATGGTTAATTATTATGCTAAATTTATACCAATGTTATCTACAAAATTAAAACCTATTTATGAACTATTGCAAAAGAGTTCAACATTTAATTGGTCAAGAGAGTGCCAAGCAAGTTTTAAATTAATAAAAAAGGAGATCATTTCTGATAAAATATTAATTCATTATGATAGGAATAAGCCCTTAAGATTAGCATGTGACGCATCAAATAATGGTATAGGTGCTGTATTAAGTCACATTATGTCAGATGGTTCAGAGAGACCTATTACTTTTATATCTAGAGTGTATACAAAAGCAGAGAGAGGATACTCAATGATACATAAAGAAGCATTAGCTTGATATTGGGCAGTCAGTAAGTTGTATCAGTATTTGATAGGAACTAAGTTTGAGTTATTGTCAGACCATAAGCCTTTAAAAGCTTTATTTGGTGAGCACAAAAGTTTGCCACAAATGGCAGCAGGTAGATTACAAAGGTGGTCATTATTTTTGTCTGGGTTTGATTATACATTAAATCACATTAAAGGTACAGAAAATGTAAATGCAGACTGTATGTCTAGATTACCATTACCTGTCACTGATAACATGTATTATAAAGAATATGATTATATTAATTTTGTAGAAGATCAAAATGTAATTGATGTTAATAGAATAAGATCTGAAACGCGAAGGGATCCTATTCTTAGTTCGGTATTTAATATGATAAGATATGGTTTTTCAAATAATGTAAGTGATGTTTTCAAGCCATTTTTACAGAGGAAAGACGAGTTATATATTGAAAAAGGAGTAATCATGTGGGGTTATAGAGTTATAATTCCAAAAAAATTACAGAATTTGTTATTAAAAGAGTTACATTCGACACATGAAGGTATTGTAAGGATGAAATCTAATGCTAGGTCATATTTTTGGTGGCCAAAAGTGGACCAGATGATTGAAAGTTATGTAAAAAATTGTAACATATGTATGTCGATGCGTCCAGAACCACCAAAATCTAATATTATTTCATGGCCAAAAACAAATAGTCCATATGAGAGAGTACATGCAGACTTTTTAGGTCCATTTAAAGGTAGAAACATTTTACTAATTGTTGATACATATTCAAAGTGGCCAGAGGCATTTATTATGGAAAGTACTGATTCTAAATATACAATAGAGAAGTTTAGAGAATGTTTTGCACGGTACGGTTTACCAAAAATTTTAGTTACTGATAATGCAAGTGTATTTGTATCAAGAGATTTTTCTGAATTTTTATAGAACTAGACTAGATTTATTATCCATAAAGGAAGAAAAAGGAGAGAGGATTAAAAGAGGGAGTAGACAGGATACATTTAAGGAAGGAGATTGGGTATATTGTAGGGATTATAGAAACCCAAATAAAAAGGTTTTTGTAAAATGTATTATTGATGAGGTCTTGGGACAGAGAACTTATTTATGTAAAGTAGTAAATGAGAATTTAATATGGAAAAGACATTTAGATCAAATAATAAGCTCTCCATCCCAAACTAATCAAGATTTTAATCAAATAATAAACTCTCCATCCCAAACTAATCAGGATTTTAGTATTGAAAAAGTAAATTCAGAAGATATAACTTTGAAAGAAGTATGTTCTGAAGTTGTAGTTCCTAAGAGTATATTTGATGAAAACATTTGTAATAGAGATTGTAGTAATAATAATAATTTAAATAGATCTTTAGAAACTATTGTAACTTCTCAAGTAGGTGATTCTGAGGGAAATAATATTTGTAGCAATGTTTCAAAAGATGATAATTCTATAATAGGGTCTAATTGTAATTCTGAAATTATTGGTTTAAGGCGCTCACAAAGAGAAAGAAAACCTATTGTAAAACTCAATTTATAGGGGGAGTATTTGTGATGTATTTACATCCGCGTGTCAATGTCAAGTTTGACACATTAATCTGTAATTGTCAGTTGTCAAAATAGAGTGATATTAGCATTATATAGAAATGAATAAGATGGCGTTTCTGCGAATGTCCTATTGTTGTGTTAAAACAGTAATCAATAAAAATCATTAAAAAGGCGTGTTATTTTTATTCAACGTGTAATCAGAAGGCCTGGTACACATTATCATGTCAAACAATTCATCTGAACACAATCCGTTATATATTCGGTAGAACACACACACACTGATATAAATAATTACATTTTTTTTGTACTTCCTTCTTGCGGGTTCGATTCCGCACTGTGCAACACTTGTATTCACGAGTATGTTTGAATCGAACCCGCGACCATCGGACGTAAAGCGGTATGCCAAACCACTAGACCACCGTCAAAACACTGTATAATGACGTTACCAGTGGGACATCTCGGAGTTTTTAGTGAGTAGAAGCCTCACAGTACCCACTTGCCACCCTGGGGCGAGCGGGTCTCCATGAGGAACTTCTCCAAGTAAAAAAAGGCGATAACGAGGTACCTAAGCAGGTGATTTTTTACAAAGTGTACCTCGGGAAGAGTCGTCTTCACATCACGTATATGGTATCCCATAAGAAGTTTATAAGGTATTTATAACATGGGGCTAGTAACCTGAAATAAATAAATAAATCTTATATATGTATGTATGTAGATGATGGTTACATCATGTGGATCATTAGCTGGTTTGCCAGTTCAATTAAATTTTATACTATGACATCTGTCAACCAACAATTGCTGGTGTTGCCACCTCACATGTGTACGGAACTCTAAAATCTTTCAACAATAATGTTCTCGCGTCGACACCATTTATGAACGCAAACAATTTAATGAGTGGGCCGTTCCAGATTTCCTACACGAAGGTCGAATTCCATACAGAAATAGTTTTGTTCCAAACTCATGAAATTGCTAGTGAGAAATATTAAAAATGTCTAGATTCTCAAATATTTTAGATTAAGTTCTAGAAAAAACAACCGATTAAGTTGTAAATTCGTAACCTCATTATTGATATTTGACGGCCTCGGTGGTCTAGAGGTTTAATACACCACTTTACATCTTATTATCGCGGGTTCAATTACTCGCACGGTGCAAATTTTTGTATTCATGTGTATAATTGTTTGTATCGGTCTGGGTGTTTTCTATGTATATTATGTATATATTTACAAAATGTGTTCAGGTATTTACATCAGTTGTTTTGTAACTATAATATAAGCTTGCTTAGCTTGGGACTAGATGACGCTGAGTGAGTTGTCCTGAGATATTATTATAGTTCTGGCTGCAATCCATTTTAAGAGAGAATTTATAATAGTAAAAAGAGCTTGTACCCCAGTGGGTACTTATTAATATTATAAATTCTACAATGTCTATCTGTTTGTTACCTTTACACGGCACGGCTGAATAGATCTTAATGAAATTTAAAACGAAGATAGATTATATTACTAGGACGAGAATAAGCTACCATTTATCTAAAAAAACAGATAAAGCGGGTAAACTAGTAAAATTATAAACATGAAAATATATCAGTTCTCCTGTCTATCTGTTTGTAATAAACTAAACTGAACGCCTGAGCAGATTTTAATGAAATTTGACGTAAACATAGATTGTATTACGAAGACGCAAGATATCTTGTATCTGATATAGGAGCAGACGAAGTCGCGGGTTACTGCATGTACTAATTCCCAGGTGGTGACAAGTCACGCGTTTTGTCACATAAGCTCGTAATAGTGCCGTGTTACCGAGGTAACGATACTAAAATACACAGAAATAGTCCAGCGGATACGCGGACACCTACACACGTTCGAACACACATAAATCATATGTCTCCTTCTGGCATACGTTGTTCTATATACCTGTTTCTTTCTCACCTGCCTACATAAGAACTCAAGGAGAATCAGTTCGTAAAATCATGAATGAGTGGATATACTAGATATACAAAATATACATATACATATATGTATTAGCAAAAAATATTTATTACATAGTAGCAGTCGATGAATTTGCCGTATGTATATATGAAATAATCATATATGTATATATGTATAAAATATGCTTTTGAATCCTGATGACAAACGCTACTATACGATCAATAAATACAAATATATATCTTATGCCTAAACGAAACATCTCCTTTGGAAATTATACACTATATCCTGAACAGATAAAAACCATCGCTCCTAAAAATATCTTTCAATTTTTGTCCTTAACGAATCTAGGTAGTGAAATTTGAATAAGGGCGAGCACAATAGAGCTATACAGGTTGCATGTCTTAGTACCTGAAAATAGCCCAAACTCCCTAATAAAAAAAAATGTAATAGTAACAAATGTCCCATAGTCCCAAAAACTAGTTATTCATAAATATATTCTATGCACGCTGGCCTACCTACGACCTACAACATATCTTAGAGGAATCAAACCCGTAACGATAGGCAGTAAGGCGGTGTGTTAAACCGCTAATCCACCGAGGCCGTCAAGGTTTAATTTGTTTTTTCTTGGGAATCATAACGACCTAATGATGAAGTCACAGATAAAAACTAGTATATTTTGGTAAAAAGTAGTCTACAGATATATTTTAGAGTCTGTCAGCGATATTTACCTATATGTATATATAGTATCCAACTAACAAAAAACACAGACACTGCATGAGGTAATTAAATAGCAGAATGTGAGTTTAAATGGCAATAAAAAGTTAGGTATCATTTAAGTAGTTCTCGCACGAACTCCAAGGTTAGCCGAGGAAAAATATATTCAGTGCACGAGACTGTGGACCCGCTTGGGTTATCATTTGTTTTGGATAAAACCTACTGTTTTTATCAACTATATTGTTATAGCATATATTTATCAATACTGGTACGTATTCAATACAAGGGCCCACCCATATTTTGTATTACACGATTGTCATGATTTTTGACCCCTCTCCCCATCTTTGTCAGAGCTATAATATTAAGATATTATTAAGATAATCATTGATAATTTTATTTTACACAATGTCACACTTTGCCAAACCCCCACCTCTCCCTCATAGTGGGGCCGGCTCCCCCTCAAAGTTTTGGCTGTTAGGGCTGTTAACCTCATTGCTAACCACGTACCATGTCAGATTGACCTCCAGCGGTGCCCCCTGGAAACCATCGTGATAAATTCATGGTAAAGCCATGATGGGTAACGACCTGACCTCAAGTTCATCTTATCATCCTAAACTGGTGCCCCGCCAGCGTATACCATTCGCGTAGGCGGATGCACTATCACAGTCATCCATTAAAAAATACTGAACGAATAAAATGTGATGCCTTCGAATCTGGTAGTTTGGTTTCCTATAATTATATATTCTATTTCCTCTTGATTGCTTAAAAACACAGTATAAAACTGGATTTAAATTAGACTGGAGAAAGAACATAGCATACTACAATTCATTAGCATAG